CATGCTAGAATCGAAATTAGGACTTTAGGATTTTTGAAGAACTTTGAAAATACTTTGAATTGGCTCTTTGATTAGAAATGGAATCAAAGATAAAGAGTCCCCATACCTTAACTAAGAATCCCCAAGAAATTTGAGAAAGAACCACCTTAAAATCGTCACACCCTATCTCTTAGTTCTTGACCTTCTTCAATGGAGGATTGTAGAGAAAGATATATTTGAGAGGAGGTGGGTTTCTTTTTAATTCTAAGAGGAGTGACTTAAATGAAAGGAATTGGGTCATAAAAAGGTCTTATAGTTGCTAGGAAAGGAAAAGAATAGCATAGGGTCAATTTTGGAAAAGGACTAAGGACCCATAAGGTCTTGACTTAAAAATTGTGCCCCTTCCCGTCTTAGTTCGCCCTTTGTTGCAGCCTGACAGTACTTCATATTTCGGGCATAAATTTTTACTCCAAGGTTGGAATTGGGCAAACTCGGTGGCGTTGGAAAGAGGACTCAGAGACCTTTAATTGGATAGGTAAAGGTCAACCTAATTCATTTTGAGCTAAAAGATATGACCATTTAAAGTTGACCCTTACAACTCACTAGTTCAAATCACTAGTTTCCGGACGTCAGGTCATTTCTCATCATTTCATCAAGTTCTCAACTCCTAGCTCACATGTGAGGCTCTAGTTTCACTAGTTCGTTTTTAGGGTCGTCACAGTAAATCTAGTAGAATCGTGTATTTCCCTTCATTGTGTGCATTGGGGAGTAATGATAATGAGGTGCCGGATTCATTGTTCCACTTGATTAATCTTAATTAATAAAAAGTGGATTAATGAAAAGACAATGTGTTGATCATAATGTTTTGTGAATTGCCTGGTTGTGGACCCTATTTGGTTGATTGATGAAATGATTTGATGGCATTAATGTGGACTTTAATTGCTTGTGTTGTTGTCTCTTCCTTATGGTGTGAAATTGCTTATTTGCATTGATTGTTGTACACCGTGATGAGACATATGATGTTATGCCAAAGGAAAATGGTTCCAGCAAGTGGTATGATAATAAGCCGAAGGGAAATGGTTCCGGCTAGTGATGTGATATAATGCCGAAGAGAAATGGTTTCGGCTAGTGACAATGTGTTGAAGAAAAATGATTCCACCAAGTAATGTGATATGAGGCCAAAGGAAAATGGTTTCGACTAGTGATATGATATAAAACCGAAGGGAAATGATTCCGATAAGAGTTGACTATTGTGATTTGATGTATTTTGTTACTTGTGATTGATCTACCTGTTACTTGTTATTGACATACTTGATACGTGTTGGTTGTTAAACTGTGTGGTTAAGCCTTGTGAACTGTGTATTGTGAATTTGTTAGGTTGGGCTGATTTCTATGAGTCAAAATGAGTGGAAGAAGATACTTTCATTATGATTAGCTATACATTATATAGAATTACAAAGATATGGGAAGATATTTACAATCCCAAAGAAGATACTACTACAATCCCAAATAATAACCTATACAATCCCACAAGATATTCTAATTGATTGAGAACAAATCTACTCATTAAATAAGGCTAACTGATTTCCATAACTCATGCTAACACTCCCCCACAAGATGAGCATAGATATCATGTATGCCCATCTTGACAAGTGAGTTATTAAACGCTTGTCTGGATACAACCTTAGTTAGAACATCAGCGAGCTGCTCTAAGGTCTTCACATATGGAACTTCAATTGTCTTATCCTCAAACTTTTAATATATGAAATTACGATCAATCTCCACATATTTAGTACGATCATGTTGAATTGGGTTTTCTGCAATTTTAATAACTGACTGGTTGTCACAAAATAACTTCATAGGTTCATCGCATGAAAAACCAAACTCCCCCGTAAGTCGTTTCAACCATAGTAATTCTTGGATACCTTTAACCATTGCTTTGTATTCAGCTTCTACACTAGACAATGAGACAACCTTTTGTTTTTTACTTTTCCAAGTAACTAGGTTACCTCCAACAAAAGTGAAATACCCAGTTGTTGAGCGTCGTCTTTCTCCTTTTGCACCCTAATCTGAATCACAATAACCCATAATTTTTGTATGGTTATTCTTAGAGAACATGAGGCCTCTTCCTGGTGATGACTTCAAGTATCGCAAGACTATAATGAGTGCATTCATATGAACTTCACTTGGATTATGCACTAAGGGACTTACCACACTAACCGCATAAGCAATATCTGGTCGGGCATGTAATAAGTATATCAAGCGTCCCACTAATCTTTGATATCTCGCTTTATTAGTAGGAACTTGATCAGGAAGTTCCTCTAAGTAATGATTTTGTTCAATTGGTGTATCAATAGGTTTACAATCTAACATACCCGTCTCCTTTAACAAATCAAGAACATATTTCTGTTGAGACAAAAATATTTCTCATTTGGACTTAATAACTTCAATACCCAAGAAATACTTTAATCCGCCTAGATCTTTCATATCAAATTCAGAGGACAAGTAAGTCTTCAACTTAGCCATATCATCAACATCATCACCAGTAACAATCATGTCATTAATATAAATGATAAGGACAGTTATCTTACCATTTTTTCTCTTCAAAAATAAGGATTTGTCGGCATTGCTCTGAGTATAGCAATATTTCTTCATTGCTAGTCGGAACCTTCCAAACCATGCTCTAGGCGATTGCTTCAGACCATACAACGCCTTTTTTAGCTTGCACACCAAATCTGTATTTCCAAAGGTATTATAACCGAGAGGTATGCTCATATATATTTCTTCAAAAAATTCTCCGTGCAAAAGAAAGCATTTTTCACATCATATTGTTGTAGAGGCCAATCAAGATTAGCAGCTATAGATAATAGAACACGAACAGTACTTAGCTTTGCCACGGGCGCAAAAGTCTCCTGATAATCAACACCATAAGTTTTTGTAAAGCCACAAGTAACTAGTCTTGCTTTGAACCGATCAATTGAACCATCTGGCTTGTGTTTCAATGAAAAAAACCATTTGCATCCAACGGGTTTCTTTTCTTTCGGCAATGACACAATATCCCATGTCTGATTTTTATCCAGTGCTTCTTCAAATCTTGTAGGGATTTTAACCGATGACATCTGATGCACAAAGCCTTGGATAGAGCTTGGTAAGTGTCCACTGGAAACATACTGAGCAATAGGATATTTGACTTCCTTTTGATTATTAGGAGAGTATCTTGTTGGTGCTTTCCCTCGATTTGTCCAAGGAGGTAACTGATACCTATTCATGTTATCATCACTAGAAACCACTATTGTAGCGTCATAAATTAAACTATTAGTACTAGTTACCTCAGAATTAACACATACCTCAAGAACATCATCAGAAGGAGCATCATTTGGGGGGGGGGGGTTACTAACAATACTGAAGAGAGGGATTCTTCACTTTCTTGCACTGTTTGATTGAGAATGTCATGGTCCGGAGTTGTTGAGCTAAGTCATGTATTAACAAAACTTGTACTACTATTGTCTGGTAGTAACACCATCCAATTCTGGTCTTCAACCTTATTCTCCCCCTGAAGAGGAGAACTGGAAAATTCTGGAGAGAAATACATGTTTGTCTCAGAAAAAGACACATTCATAGTAACATACAATCTTTTGGTAGGTGGATGATAACATTTTGTCACGCCCCGAGCCTACACCCTGGGAGGGACCGGCACTCGAAGACCATTGTTGGCCCCAAGCGAACCCTTGGCCTGGCTTACTTAACTCAGCGAAAAACTTAACTCAACAGAATAACTCCATCCAATGAAAGGTCATAAAACAACCCAACTGATAAAATCTTGGCCAAAAAGGCAACTCGAGTCTCAAAATAGAATATTTACATAGATACATAG